ATAAGTACATTGTTTAATGTACATAGCTTACAAGTTATAACGTTGCAATAATTTAATAATTGTAACATATTTGTGAACTCTCTCATAATAACAAAACGATAATTTACGTGGCGTAAACAAAGCCACTCCTAAAAGAAATCCTCTCATTTAGTTATTTTGAACGATGTATTCCATTGAAAGTTTTTTATTTTTGGCCATCTATATAACCTATTTTATGGCTTATCATCGATGTTCATATAATTGCACTAAATTATAATAGTTTTCCACCTGCTGCAGTAGCCAGTGCGTGTTTTTCAGTGCCTATACACTTATACTTAATTTGTTTTAGAAAATGTATGGCACGTCGTGTCGAAATTATAAAACGTGCGATAATCGATCGACGATCATTATTTTGTAGAATTCGTTATGACGTACCTATACCTACATATAATATTATAGACTGTGTACAAATGTACAATGTTATGTACGGTATATTAAAATATTATCGACGTGACAACGTGTGATAATATTTATTATAATATATACATCGTTAAATAATTAATCCAAAATTTCAGTGCATGAACGTAGGTTAGGTATAGTTATAAACATATAATAGGTGTTATATATCTAGTGTGCCTAACGCAAAAACAAATTATTATTAAAATATTATTCGTGCGTATCTTCTTATTGGCTTGGTTATATTATAATTTACATTAGGTGTAATGTGTCAAATATCCATTATTATTATTATTATTATTATATTGTTAGCAGGTGGTAACCGCTGTAAACGATATTATTATGGTGTACAATGGGGAAAAAATAAAATAAAAAGTTTATATTATAAATATATATTAAATTGTTATTATATTGACTAATTCGATATATATTATATATCCGCTGCGGCTGAGGGGTACCGCGTGATGCTATAATTTTGTTAGGTATTTGATTTTTTTTACATAAGATGGTATACTACTTACGGAGTGACCGGGAGAGGGTTATGTAAGTTTAAGTAACACTAAAACTAAAAAAAAATACAACATAACAAGGAGGTTTTGTTGGATAACACGGGTTGGCGCAATCCACTAGAGGGCGTCGATACAGGCAGGCAGACAGGCACCGTCGTCGTTTGTATACGCGCAGCAATTGCGTCATTGACAAACTTGGTACCAATATATAATATTATTCTTATTATGTAAAACCTTAGGTAAACCTCTGGCGGTCGGGACATTTTTACCGCATTATGTATTGTACGTACGATGACGGTAACAATAATAATAATAATAATAATAATAATAATAATCATAATAGTAATAGTAGTAGTAATAGTAATAATAATAATATATTATACCTACAAGCGCTGTTATATTATACACGCATGGAGACCGGAGACTATAATATAATAATAAATAATAATAGTAATAATAATATCATTACTGTCTTCGTCGAACAGTTCTTCGGAGGCCAGGGATTTTTACGGTTGTGTGTCGGCCGAGAGTTGTCTTGATAATAATTTGTTCAATAGAAATATTAACAATATTAAATAATTAATATTGTCATCTATCACAAGAAGAACATAATGCATACATAATAGAGCTCTTATAACTTAAAATAATATAAATGCCAATAATATCGCATATTTCCTCCTGCACAATTATGTTATATTATATTTATTTGCTTGTATAGAGATGAGCGCTTGCTTAGTATGCTTATGTCGAATTAATATAGTTAAATTAATAGTGATGTTATATTATTATATATTTTACTCTATGACCCATGTTATATATATCTACTCATTCGCAAGTATTATGTTGATTAGTCGACTGAAACTAACAATCAGTTAAACGGTTTTTTTTTTACTTTGTGCATATTATGGTATAAGCCCGTGTTATATAACAATTAATTTATGTTTATACAGTTTTCACGCAACAAGTAATTACTTCCATTAATTAAAATTGGATTGATACGACGTGAATACTTACTTACTATTTAATATTTTAATATATACGTATTAACCTTAACACGTAGTTAATGTCATAATATTATTTGAGGACAATATTATTCTATTGCCACATAATATAACAATTATTATTAAGTACGAACAATGTATTTTGACAAAAGTTAGTTTTATTATTAGTTATGAGCTGTGACGTTTAAAATATGAACACAAAACTGTACTGGGATTTTAACTCATAAAACATATTATCATCGAAAAATTATTATGTAACTATTATGTGGTAAGTGATAACGTTTCAATGGTCTATAATATACTGAAACCGTTATAAGAATTTACATATATTTTTGAAAATTATTCATCCTGTTTGATACGATTTTATTGTAAATTCGTTAACCAAATAACAATCTAATATCACGTGTGGTCTTAACATGATTTGAAATCATTATCATGATATTATTGCAGTGTTCGGAAATCTTTTTAGTACAACTTGGGTAGTACTATAATTTATGTACTGTATAGCAGGGCTGGCAAATCCGTGGCACTCGAAAAATTAAAATTCTTATTATATTAGGTAAAAGGTATATTTTATTTTTAATAATCAATTATAAGACCACGATTTTTTTTTCATTAATTATTTATATATATATATTTCATAATTTAATGTCACGCAAGTAAAGAAAACATATTTGTTGGCATGCAACGTCAGCGAAATTTGCCATTCATGGCCTATAGGTACCTATTGGCAAAATGAAGACTGTATGGTCCCCTCTCTCTGCTTCTTTAGTTCTGCACTAGTCCACCTAAGTAATTATTTTTTTGCTATTTCAACTAGTAAAAGGTAGTAAGTTATCAATTATTGTTCTACTAGATGATGCCGCTAGAGAGCTGTATACATGTATATGTATGGTATGGTTTGAATGACGATTAAATTATATACCTAGGTTAGTATACTTCTATTGGCAAAAGTTTAATATTTTGGAATTTGAATACATATCTATAATTAAGTGATGTATAAATGTCTACTACATAAGGAGTTTTTATTATAAATTATATATTTTAACATACCTAATAGTTTACTTTATTTTCATTCGAAAGTGCATTATTTGTCTATAGTTATTATTAGTTTCCAGTTATGAGTGTAGACGTTCTGCATTTTTTTACTATAAGCATACTTATATTTGACCATCATATTATTCTGGAATAGACTTGTAATATGTTTTTTTCCTATTTATCACAAGATAATTTCCAATTGTGAATTTGATAACTTAATATTTATAAATTATAATACATATAGCATGAATAACATGGCTAGAAGGTCACTTGTTGGTAACACCTCTTAAATAAACTAGCATGTCTTTTCACCATCTTTGATGGTGTATTTTCGGGTAGTGTGTTGGCATACATACGAGACTTAAGAGAATTATATCAAGTAGATATTTAAATTTATATGAAAACATTTATAGCTTATTATGGTTAGTTCGGTAGTGGTTTTACCTTTAGGTCGTTATGTAAGGCAATGTTTGACACGCACCAAAAAATGTTTGTTAATTGTTAGTTCATATACTCAGTGAAACAGATTGGAATTACTAAATGGGTCTGATATTAGAAGGGTTTACAGGACCCTATATCGTAATTCCTTAAGATCAATAGGTCTTGTGATTGACTAGTATAAGTATATTAGAAGTTCGTTATGAAGTGATATTTTGAAATAATTATAAATAGGTACGTTTATACAAATTTAACTCCCCCCCCCCCAATAATATTTATTACATTATTAATTAATTAGTATTTTTTTTTAATATATAAGATTATTGGTAATATATAGTATATAGTACATTTAGTAAATAAATGTATAGTAACGTATGGTATGTTTAAAAAATACATAGGTGTTGATGCATTTTTCACACATGCAATTTTAATTAACTAACTATACAAATTCAGGAAACTATTTAAAATGAATAACATTTTTAATGCATATTTATTAATTTTTTATCACTTAAATCCAACGTATTGGAGGTATTTTAAGGAACAAAGTCCCTTTTTGAGGGAAAAATTTTTTTCGATCGGTGTTGTAATAGGTTATTAAGTGTCAAGGGCACATGAGTCGTTTTCAATAATTACTAATGATACCTAACTGTCAAAGCATATAATTTATGTTTGTATTGACTATATTTGTATATTATATTGAGTTTAACACGTTGTATATAATTTAAAATGTATTTGTCAAAACTATAAATTACTCAAAACTGTTGTGTACAACTAACCAATTTTCATGTCGACTTTGATGTCTTGATGTATATTTAATGAAGACATTTCGGTGTACTAGGTGGAATTTTAATTAAAACCGTCATCGAAATAATATCGACTGAATCATATTGTATTATGATTATTAAACTGTAATGTGGGCAATGTGGCAATGTGTCAAAATAAATCAGTGTTATATAGTATTTAACTGGAAGGCAGTATACAAGATTACGACAAGAAAAATATTTTAATGTTATTAGGTACTTAATACTTTTAAAACTATATTAGAACATAATATAGTTTACACTTGGTTTTGAAATCGTTAAGATATAACTGATAAAAGCAATTATATTTTTTTTCTAGTTTATTTCGATGGTATAAAATTAAATTAAAGACTTATAATTTGTATTTATTTGTATTAATTTTAAATTTTTTATTGATCTTTAAATACAACTCGGGAGTAATTACCATTAGTGGCTTATAATCTATGGTATCAGTATAATGCTTTATAATAGTATGTTTGGTAGGTGAACATTTTTAAAACAATTATATTTCATAAACACTAGACCACATTTGTATACAGTTAGTGAAAATCTAATTTCGTTCGTGTGTACCTAAACATAATAATGATTACAGATAATATTAGTATATCATTTGATTGATGGCTGTTGAACAATAAACAATAATACCAATGTAAACTATACTGTTTTATTATTATATATTACAGTGCACTTACTTATAAGATATTATTATTTATGTAATAAATTTCCATTGATGCATCAATGTTAACGTTAATAATTAATCAGCTGTCGTTGTTTTCCAGGAGGCGAAAATTATGATTTGTTGAACGTTAGATCAAGAACGCTGCTTAAACTTGGACTCAATGAAAACGCCCTTTCGGACGCTGCTCGTGTGGTCCAAATAAATCCAAAGTGGTCTAAAGTATGTTTTTTTAAATACGTTTTTATTTGTTTATGCTACACGTTTATAATTTAAATTTCATCAGGGACATTTCACACGTGGCATGGCGTTGTTTTCTTTGAGGAGATATCAAGAGGCGTTATTCGAGTTTTCATTGAGCGCAGTGCTCGGTGAAAACCAACAAAAACTCCAATCCCAAATTAACGAGGTACTACAGAGGTTACTGACGATGTATTCCAATGAAGATCTAGATCTAGAGAGCTGGAATCCCATATCTCACAGTTACTTGAGATCGTACTTGAACACGTTCATCAACAGATCCAATGTATTTGACAACAGTTCAAACTCCTTAAAAGTATGTTGACAATAATTTTTCATTTCAAAAATAAAATCATCATATTTTTTTTTGTTTTTAGAAATCTTTTGTAAAAGAAAGTACATTTATAAAAAAAGAACTCTGTGAAATCAGTACAATAACTGAATTGGTCCAACATATTTTTGTTGAAATAATGCAGACTAAACGTAAGTTTATTGTTATTTTTTCTCTCATAACTCTTATACCTAATATTATGCATTATTTTTAGTATATATTTCTGTTTTTGTATTCATATATAATATATAAGCTTTTATCAAAATTTGCTTCTTTTGTTTTGGCATAGATTATACATTTTCAGTTGAATAATGTAACTGATTTTTAACCAAGTGAAATTAGATAGATACTCGTACTTTAAACTTAAAGAATATATTTTTTTATATTAACTTAATTCAACGAATTAAAATAATTAGTTAACTTGCCAAGATATCACTTCTCAGTTACTTATTTTCAATAAAATTATTATTCTTGGAGTTCATGTTTTTATAAATATAACTATATTTTTAAAAATAGTGTCAAAAAGTGTTTTAATTTTAGACATTCCGTATTAAATTGAAATTGTATTTTTATTTTGCCAAAAACATTATATCTACCACTTCGATGCATTTTGCTATCATTCAGATAATCAGATAGATACGCATCTTATCCTTACAAGTGTTTTAAAAATAATATTCAACTTGTTATTACAAAAAGAACACAATATACTTAGTGTCTTAGCTCAAAATTATAAATTCATTTTATCAGCTAGTTTTAAATAGGCACTTCTGAGATTTTCTTAATTGTCCAAATGTTTATTGTTATACTGCTGGAACCGAATGGAATTTTTTATAGATAATCTAACTATGATTTTAATATTTATTTTAAATCTAAGAAGCTTGTTTAATGAATTTTAAAAACCAGCTACTTTTAAATGTTGAAAAATTTAAATTGATAACTTTTACATCTACTTGTAGTAAAAAGTTCTTTAATTTATATAAGGTATCAAATTAACCATTGTTTACTTAAAAAGGGTTATTCACTCATGAATTTATATTGAATTTTATTTATTTAAACAATTAAATCAAAAAATGATTATCTATCAATAAATTGTATAATATATTAGTAAAACTTAGAATTTATGAATAGAAATGTCAAAGATCTTAGAAAATCTATTGTGTTTAAAGTATAAAAACTTGTATAGTATTCTAGTTAGATTAGAACTAGAAGTTGTCTCTCTATTGTGAGATTGATATTATTCAACATAAATTTTTGTACAGAATAATAGCCTATATTTCTCATTTCTCTATTTTTATTTCTAAAGGCCAACTCCTTTCATTTGTTTCGAAATTATCTAGATCTTGATTCCCTGTCCATTAAACATAATTAACGGATATAAATATTTAATGGGTGTTTTTGAAATATTTTAATAGATTTTCATCAGCCCAGAAATTTGATATTTTTTTGGCTTATGATTCTCAAGTAAGAACATAATATAATTGTGATTGATTTTTGTTTACCTAATTTCCAATCGAATAGCGTCACAAATTAATATTTATTCAAAAGCTTTTGTGTTAGTTAATAAAATCTCCATTTTTTTTTTAGATTTTTTTGTTTTATCTAGCTATATTTAAAATTTAAAGCATAATCATTTTTTAAATATAAATTTTATTATGATTGTTTTATATTTCTTAGTCATTAGTTTCATCACTAGTTCTGTGCTTAAAATTATGAGTTATATAATTTTATGTACACGAGTTTTTGTTTTTATCAAACATTAAATTTATCAGTCAAAATTAAAAAAAATCTTTTATCATTTAACATTTTGATATTCCTTTTTAATGGTGATTTAAATTTACTTCAAGTTTTCATTAAATTTTTGTGTGTGGGGGCAAGCCCCCACTCCACCCTTAAAAATATCTCTTATGTATTTAATATAATATCTACTTAAGCGTGCAATATGTTTTGAAATAAAATAAATTACATAAATATTTGTTTTTACGGCATATACTTTATTGTATTCAAAAATTATGCAACTAACTTAACGGACGGATGATATTATTATTACATCCCACTATTATAATGGTATGGGTATAGGTTTATTCAATAGGCACTTTGAATACCATTAAGTAATATTAATATTTCATAAGTGTTATGGAATATTATTTTCACGAGATAATAATACGAACTTCAATTATGTGAAACACAAAGACTATTTAGATATTTTGGTCACGCAATTTTGTGTACACAATATATACTATAATGTATATCGCAATTAGTTGTGCTCGATGAATATCGACGAGACTCAAAACAACGAACGTCGTTTTGGATTTGATTTTTCAGATTACACTTCAAGCATCCTAATCAATAACACGCTAAACGTGGACCAGTCATTGTTGGACGAATCGGATTTCAATTGCGTTCTGTGTTGTGGAATGCTGAGGAACCCGGTGACGACACCGTGTGGGCACACGTACTGCTTAGACTGTCTAGAGCACAATTTCGATTATAGTTTCCACTGTCCGCTGTGTCTGACGTCACTGCCGCCCGTGAGTAAAAAATATCATTATCATCTCGACGACTCGACGCAATACATCATTGTAATAGTAGGTACACGAATTATAGTAGTAATAATAATACTATTGAATAACATGCCGTCGATTTAAACTCATCAGTGTTTATTGTAAATTATTAGAATAATATTGTAATCGTTATACCACCACCTACAGCCAACGTCAACTATATGGTCGTTGTACAAGCGTGCATACTACCTACATTACTCTCTTACACTTGGTGTATGTAAACTATAAATATTATACACGAACTTTCAATCTGTAAAATGCACCACAAGTATAGGTAGCTTTTCCCAATATTTTACAAGAGGGACAAAACAAAATTCGTTATTTCACATGGTCTTGATATGCCGCAGCACTTGTATTTTATTGTATTTTTTTAATCGCATTGAAAAAAAATCAATTTCAAAGAATATTATAATATTAATAATTGTCTTTTAATCGAACACCGATGATATCATGGTATATTAAACATACTCGTGTGTTACGAAATATATCTGTATACTATATTATATTCGTCACTTGTCATATTAATCATATTTGAAAAGCGAATTTCGCGTATTTATTATCTCATATACACATTATACTATTATAGTCATTACCGATTTTATTATACTCGTGCAATACTTTAACTACATACTTGGAATGAGAAACGCGTACACTCGCTTGTATAGTAGGTAAGTAAAATATCACCCTGTCGTTTGCAGAGCTTGGCGCTGAGCAACAAGAACACCTCGGAATTCGTCAACGAGCTGATCAGTTGCAAGTACCCTAAAAATGGTCCCATGCAGACGGTGAACTGGAAACCTGAAACGGAACACGACAGCACGTATTTGCCGGTGTTCGTATGCACGAACGCTTTCCCGTCCGTGTCATGTCCGCTGCACGTGTTCGAACCTAGGTACAGGCTGATGATCAGGAGGTGCATAGAATCGGGTACGAGGAGATTCGCCATGATCAGCAACTGCTGTCCTCCCATGAAGTTCGTACACTCACGCACGTATACATAATAATAACGATAACGATATAATAATATTATCTATCAGGGTTCCGGATGACCTAATGCATTATTTGTTCGGAGGAAAAAAAATAGAACAAATCTGATTCGAATTCGTATCTTGGTATATGGATTACAAAAAATTGTATGCATTTTAAGTGCATATTTTTGAATAAAATTACCAACTAACATTTTAGACTCACAATGTTTTCTTTTCTGTACGTGAATGTGGCCTTTTCACGTTTTGTAAATTTGCTTTGATATTCGCAACATTAACGGTGCAGGTTTCAGCTGTAAGCGAATTTGATCTAGTTATCTAGTTGGTTAGTTGGTCTACTTTGGTGGATCAATATAGTTCTAATTTCTTTCCTTTATAATTGGAAAATAGACACTTGAAATTTTAACCAAGTACAATTTTCTTGATAATAAGTAGATATAATTTTAAAACAACACGCGTATATTGAACTGTTTTTTCGACTGTTATTATTGCATATTTTGAAGATTTTGTGGATACATTTTTGAGCCTTGATTATTATTTATTATATTATCCAAACGATTATGTGTTATTAAAACGGCTTATGGATACGTGCACAAGAAATAAGTGTTATTATTCATATAATTTCCACACTGTTCGTGACGCAATCGTTTTTTTTACATTCATATTCTGCATTTCTGTGGTGCTGCGGGTTTTAATATTTACCTCGAATTTCAGGTTCGCCGAGTTTGGTACAGTGTTGGAAATCAAAGATCGGATCATGATGGGTAATGGTTGCTCTATTCTGTCGACAATCGGAATGCGACGATTCAAAGTGTTAGTCCGAAAAGAACACGATGGCTATGACATGGCCACTGTGCAATATATACAGGACGAAAAAGTTCCTCCGAAAAAATTATTAGGTCAGTATATTTCTTACGAAATATATTATTATAATATTATACATCGAGGTAGTTGAACTGTTTTTAGTGAGAAAATTCATCAGTGGCGCTGAATTAACATTTGCGCTTTTACGATATTATATTATGCACTAAATTAATGACCTCCTTATAAATTGGTTATGTATATAGAATTATATAAGCTCCACGATGACGTTCGGCAACGGGGATTAACGTGGTTCGACGGTTTTCGGCCTGAAATAAAATCGGAAATCCTGAGGACGGTTGGTTTTCCGCCAAGCACCGAACCAAATTGGGAAGAACTTTCTGACGGACCAGCTTGGACGTGGTGGTTGTTATCGTTATTACCACTAGGCCAAAACGCTCATGTAAGTTTTAATATATTATAAATATTTATTTGAAACTATAGTAATATTATCCTGCACCATAATATGTATAAGTACCGAGCGTTAGACTCTAATTAGGGGTCACTAAAATGGCGATCCACAGAAAATAAATTTATTTATTATAGTGAATTAAATTAAGTTCTCATTAGTTTTCATTCTATTTTTCGATTTTGCCTTTTATTTTTTTGGTAAAATGTGTTGAATTTTGAATGCCTCTAAAAATATCACTGTTTTCTAATATGACTCCCCAAAAATATTAATTGGCAATCCCTATTATAAATTATCCTCAAATACTATAAATTAAATCACATCAGTAAAAATACCGAACCAGCTACAGTAAATCTTCATTTATCAGTGATAGTTTATAGTTTGTATAATTTAAAATTTTTGAATGTAAAACAAATTGTACTGCTGTTGTGCATATGGCTTACGGCTTTTATTTATAGATTATATTAAAGCCTAACTCACAGGTTATTTTTTTTTAGCTAAATTAGCATAATATTCCTGTTTGATAGAATAACGAGAATAACATTTGATATGGAAAATGGAATGACATAACGACTTACTTAAATTCGTTAGTCGAGTATTATGCATCCGTTTTGTATATTATTATTACTACCTACCTATTGAGTATTGGCTTACATAATCTATTAAACAATTATTATTTATAATTATTATTACTAAAACATGAATAGTTATAGTTAATTGAGAACACATACAATATATTATTGTTTATGGGTATATAAAAACGTTTCGTAAGTATCTTTTGATATAGGTTTATGCAAATAAATAGCCTAAAAGATTCGACAAATATATGATAATATGATTATACTATACTATGTTACTTTAAAAAATAGATAAAACACAATTCATACGGTTATTCAATTTTCAAACTAAATTTTAGTGTATGTTTACACATACTTTATTATATTTTGAAGTAGGTAGATATTACTTTAACAAAAATAATGTAATTATTTAGATTAAATATTTATTGTCTGTATATAGGTTTTTTATTCGTTTCTATTAAGTGCAGATTTAAAAAACAAACAACGTTAAATTAATTTATCGTTTTACAAAAATTAAGCCTTATTAATTCAAATGAACTATTGTAGGTACCTAATAAGTACCTATCTTAAAATTTAAGTTGTAAAGTATACATAATCGGAAATTAGATATTGTACAATATGATGAGATATTTATTTTTGTTTTTAAATACTATGTGTTTCATTATTTATATTATTATTTATTATCATATTGCTAAAAAATGTCTTGTAAACCAATTTACGCTCTTGGTTATTTAAGATATTCCTACACAAATAAATAAAAACATGTAATAAAATACCCACTTTTAATCTATGTCTATTATATTTGAGTTAGATATCATTAATACTTTGACGTTATAAGCTATTTTAAATGCTATATTGTTTTTAGAAAAATGCAATTAAACGCTCGTCATATTTCCTAAACTCTAAATGCATTGCAATGTTTTTTTTTTATCGAATTAAAGTAATATAAGTAATAACTTATAACCTTTATGGGTTCTCATTACATAATATAGACAATAGACGTAAAATTAATAATGAACATTAATGCCATTAAATATTATCATGGGCGTATATACAATTGATCATTTCAGGGCAATAAAACGTATTTTGTCGTTATAATGTATATATTGTATACTATTGGTCTCCTATGTCTAAAATAATATTTAGGTGGCGAGGTTGCTGCAATCGGTCACGTAACATGATTGAGAGTACGTAACAGTCTACTGCTACTAGTTACCGGATGGGTAACCACCTGGGTCCTTAATGGTAGAAACCTTGCCACACATACACGAGTTTCCAACAACCGTACCAACCCTTAAAATAGCACTCAATGGCATATTGGCATATGTTGCCGTAGGAAATTAATAATAATAAAAAATAATAATATTTTGGTCTCCTGTACTGTGTTTATATACTTAAGATTACTTATTTTTCGGAAAATGGTGTCAACATTTCATGTTTTTACTAGCTTTGAATACAATATAAATAATTATTTACATTTTATCGAAAAAAAAAAACATTAATAAATATCGAAGGATTCGTGAATATAATAATATTATGTAGGTAAATAACTTGTATGTTTTGTTGTTTACCTAAATCGTCAACTGCTAACAAAACACAAAGTAAAATTAAAAACCGTATGTATTATATCTATAGCCTAAATAGGTACTCGACGACGTACATCGCAACCTTATTTTCAGCGCATAATACAATTTCGACAACAACCGTGAATTGCAAAAAAAAAATCGAAATATACCTATAACTTAACCTACTACATAAACGAACCCACACACACACACACACACACACACACACACACACACAATGCACAGTAATAATCATTATACTAGATTATACACGCACTGATTTGACATTAGTCCGATGTCCGACGGTTCTTATGTAACTCGTTCCGTAATAGTAAACACACGCGAGTTGTGTTCGTTTTTTATTTTATCGTTCGTACGGCGTAGGTATATACTACCTAATATGTAATAAGCGTTACTATTTTTATTATTATTAGTTGCACGTACGGCTGTATGTGAAAAGCTTCTTTTTAGACAACCGCACACCGCCGCCACTATGTGTACCTATTGACGAAATTATATTTATATATTGTATATAATATGTGCAATAAAATATAATACTATATAAATATATAAAAAAACATAATAATCAAATCGAACTATATAGCTAATATACTGGCTATATATTATTATTATTATTATTAAAGCCTTTTTCACACAGTGCGACCGAATAGATTTCGTGATGTTGGCTCTTTAAGTATTGGATCCATAGGTAGATAGATCCAACCAATAATTATGTCTATGGTTAAAACGAACTGACCTATAGGTACCTATCGCTATTGTAGAACTTGAAGCTAATAACGTTATTATCAACTGTGTTCGTATTTGTAAACAAGTTAAGTATATAAGCATTTATATACCTATTGACAAAAGTTTATTGTACTCCAAGTAATATAATATATATTCTCACACGTTATACCTACGATATACAATAGCAATAGTGTTTAAGGTACACCGAAATACTAATAATGATAGACTTTACCTGCAGCTCTAGGGGATGAGGGGTAAACTAATCAATTTTAAATCCCATCAGAGTGATTTTATCACAACCATTTAATATTATTATCCACATGAAACATGGTGATAAATTATTATAAAAAGATCTATTAGGTTAGGTTAGGTTTCTATATGCACTGGAAGTGCATTTTATTTTTTAACTTATACTAATTATTATCTTGTAGAAATAAAATTCCGTGAGTCTTGCGCAACACGTATTATATATACAGAGTTTGTTTTCGATCGTTCGCAGTGCAAAAAAAATGTTTCTAATATATAGGCAGCTGCGGGTATTATGCTTGTACATATGCTGCAGGTGTATAACCAGTAGCTATAATTTAATATTATAGATATAATATTACATCGACCGCCAAATATTATTTAACGAGCTAGTTTTGTTATCGGTGATAATTATAACATATATATTTTAGGGTCGACTGACCCATGCCCGTTGAAACACCTTTGTGTGTAAATGGGTTAAAAAAACGTAAAAAACAACATTCTCGAGGGCATTCTTTATCGTATTTACGCACTTGCATTACGCATTCTAATTTTTGTGTACAGTCAGACAATCGATTGAACTGATAGGTACTCTTCAGTCTTCATTGAAGAAAAAATTCAAAACCAAAATGCGGGAGTTTCGATTAAGTTCAGAAAACACACCCGCTAAGTATAAACTCTCACGGCGCATATCGTTTTAATCTCTGGAATAATATCTAGCTTTGAGATTTTTTTTATAATGTAGTACTCCCAGTTAGTTGAAGGGAGATTATAAATTAGATTATAAATTAGTTGAATTTATTTTTCAATGGTCCACCATAAGACCTAAGGACAGTGTACAATAACATTATCATTTGTTCCAATCAATTTATGATGTTTTAAATTTTCAAGCGAGTTTTGAGTATTTTTGAATTGTAATATTTTACATGATACCATTACTCGGATAACAATTAAAATATCGTAAGAAATTCGACCATCCAAAACAGATTCTTGCCTAAAACCTTTTTGTATTATGTTAAGTCACTCTTATGCAAAATCTATAAACACTAATTTGCTGTGCTGTAAACAGTATGTTGACATGTGGGTGTGACGTCCTGGAAAAAGGTACGGTCGTTCTGTATGTATCCGGGTGAGGCGATCAAGCGATCAATCAAGCGCGCGCGGCACTGTGTCTGCGCGGAAGGTAGCGGTGGTGGCGGCGCCCCTGGTACCGTGAATCGCCTAGACGCGGCAACGGCGCGGCGGTCCGGCAGCTCGACCGCGGCACCCTACGACCCCGTTACTGCGGCCGACCGATCGGCCGGTGTTGCACTCGCCCAGGGTGGCGTCCGTCTGCTGTCGCTTGGCTACCACGGGTGGCATGGGACCCTGGTAGCCTAAGACACAGATGTGATGCAAGAATTTGCTTGACGGGCCCGACGGGCTTGATTTTTGTTAGGCCTGTAGGGGGTGGTGGAGTGCGGGGTATTTTCGAATAATTTTCTGGTATTTTCGATGCAGGTTTTCAATCAGCGCTTGAAACCTTTAAGACTTTTTACGAGAAAACGAACTGAAGTAATTTTTGGGGGCAGTCTTCTCGGAATAAAAAATATTTTTTTAGCTTTTGTTAGATTTATAAATATTAGAGTGACCATTATGAAGTTTAATAGCCTTAAATTCACCTTCACCGAAATAAATAAATAGTAATAATTATTAGGTCATAAGTGGGAAAATTATATCGTTGCTTTTTTCATGATATCTTAATTTTGAAGCAAGTTATGAGCATTTTTAAGTATTGATATTTTACATAGTTTTTACTTGCTAAACAACTGAAATACCATACGAATCTAACTAGAGAACTATAGATAATGTTCTTATCCAACACTTTAGTTTTACAATAGGCCAAAAACACTTCAATATTAAAGTTCACAACAAAAATTGGAATGCATATTTTAGTACTTATGGCTATGCTATACTAAAGCGGAGGCACATGTTGGTACAAAGTCCTCACAAAGCGCAGTTATAGTTGACCAGAATTGTTAATTTCAGCAATTTAGATTTTAAGTAATTAACTTAAATATTAGACTGAATTAAAATTTTATCGACTTATAAGTGCGAGAACATTTTCAACGTCTGAGTGCTCTTGTTGGATTCTCAAGTTATTTTTGAAATTTTGACAAGCCGGTGCCTATGAAAAATATTAATATTTCAATTTGCATATAATTTATAAGCCGATGACAATAACATGCGCGTGTGACGTCCTATCGTCTCTTCATAGTTTAAATTAAATTTTAAATATAATTCAGAGAACGAATTAAAAAAAAAAAATAGTCAAATCATAGACTAAATTAAAACTTTTTGTTCGTTCAACGTTATCAAGGTTTTTAACGTTATTTTTCTTTTGCTTGAAATGTTATGAGTGTTATATAATTTTGTTACATATATTTTTTAGTTTGACTTAATGATATATACTCAAGTTATTTTTTATATGTATCGTAAAATACTTAGATATTTTTACATTTAGATTATCAAACATAATATCTATCATTCGACGTTGATTATAAATTATAAATCTAAAATCACTTTCATTCCATCTATTAAAAATAGGACATACAATTATGGTGATACCTACCTACACATTATTTCTATTTATGTATATATAATATGGAAAACTATATTTTTCGGCTTAAGTAACGTTTTATAAATACGTTTTATAATACGTTAATATTATTATATCGTTACAATTTTTTTTGTGTTTAAAAAAAAATTTTAAATTCTAAAATTAAAACATAAAATCCCGCTAGAGAATATTATAATAGTTATTACCTAATATTATGAAACAAAAAAAAATATAACCGTTTCTAAAGTTTAACTACGCCCGCTTTTAATATCATAATAATAAACTCACAGTTTAATAAATGTAAAATAAAATAATCTTACGAACGGTACCAATAACCAACAACCATGATAGGATGCGACGTTGTTACTGCTATAAAGATGAATAATTATTTACCATTTTACTCGCATCAAAATAATTTGTATGATATACAATTATTGTAAAACATTATATACATTCCTATACAAATCGATGCGTGTCTGGCAGCATCCTTACTCCTGCTACAAACAACATACCTAATTGAAAATATCCTCATCCAATCTAGGATGTGGTCGTTCTACTTAGTGTTCGCCCCAAAGCCGTGAATTCTATCTTACTAAATGTTGATTTGACGATTATTTATTTTTTATGATTTTTCAAACATCCACCGATAATTACAATATTACTATCGTGAACAAGATAGTTAGGATTTCGATGCGATCGATTTTTTTTCGTTTTATTTATTTTTAGAAATGAGAAACGATTAGCGGTACTTTAGTTGTGAATAACAACATTAATATTGTTGTACAGAAGCTTTTAGGGAAACGATAATTTTTTTCTAATCTCGCGGCGTATAGTAAATATACTCTAAAACGATTACGTTAACGGTACTTTATCATTATTTTACTACCTATACTTATTAGTTTTCCGCGCAATCATCATAAAAATATATATTATTCACCGATAGACCGATATGATAATAATAATTAATATATGACGTATAATGTTGTGCAACCGAATTCCGTATATATAATTAATATACTAAACAATAATAATATAATATTTTATTAATGATGAAGGTTATATATTATTATTTTGTTTTCACAGGTGGACCTCTTGGCGAACACTAGTATTGAAGTCCGGTTAAAAGTGATCAACAAAATTCTCAGCCGCATCGAACGAAGCTCGTTGTCCCTAAGAATAACGTCGTCACCAATGCAGTATAATAATTAATAATAATCAATAACGATGAACTATAATATTATAGTTATTATGTCGATGATACTATTATTATAATAATATATTTAATGGTTAGACGACTGGAAATCTCTACGACAATAACCACATAATATATCATTTATGTTTGTTTAATATATTTGTAGGCAGCGCGGGTGTAGTCCGATCTTAAAATTATTATTTATGTACCTACACAATATCATTACAAATTAGACGTATCTGACGTCCGACGTTTCGGATAAATAATATTATTTCATTGTCATTATTATATTTATTATCGTACAATATATTCTGTGATCTCCGAATCTGGTCAATTCAGTTGCTGATAAATAATATCACGCGTACCTAGGTAAATTAAACGATTTTTACTTAATGTGTTTCTACATACCAACTTCCTGAAATCAAAGAAAATAACTACCACACAATTTACCGGATTCATCTCAATTTATTATTTAAGACAACACACATTTCCACTTTATTGTGAACAATAAATTGTAGTTTGTTAGGATAATTATTATATTATTATATCCAATTGTGAGTCACACCTGGAAAGCTATTATTATTATTTTGAATTATTATAATAATTGTTGCTTTTTGATCATAACAACGAATTCTCAATTTATTTTGGTATTGTGATACATTTTAAATAACCCAAAAGTCGCTTTTGCGGTTCAATTGTGATATTGGAATGTGTAATATTGTTTATTTATTAGTGAAATTATATTTTTATTATTTAATGTGTTTACTACCTCTTTAAGAACGCAGGTGGTAGGTGGGATCTTTTTAAGGTTTTTTTTTACTTGATATATTTATCTGAGCCTAATTATTATTGTTGTTAACTTACAATAAATAAATATTTTTTATTTCTTGTTTGATATGCTCATGTTTTTCTTAGCATACATTTTAAGTTCTATACAAAATAATAAACCTATAATTTGCATCCTTGTGATCACTCAAATTCTGTTGTTAGAGAGGTATCCTGCGTTCCCATTAAAATGAATTACTAGTCGTTCATTTTCTTACCGATAGTTGAAATAATTTAGAAAGACAAACCGTAATTTTTTTTTTTTAATTTGTTTTTTTGTGCTGTAACTTCTGTCAACAGACACAAATACAAAAATTATAGACCATGTTAATGTACATTATATTATGTAATTATTTATTGTATTCATGTGTTTCTAATTTATTTTTTGTGAATGCTTATTGTTGTTTTGTGAAAACTTTTATTTATAAACTTTAATACTATTGGCAATGACACGATTTTACCTATGTGTGTGATTGCTGCTCATATACCGGATTTTTTTTACCCAAACCAAAATTATATGGGATTTTATTGTTTTGATTATAGATAAGTTTTTGAATAAGTATTAAAATTACTTATAAATTTATACAATATATATAATATATATTACTTGTTACCTAAACAAATTTAATTGTGAATGAAAGTGTGAACAATTGAAACCTATGTAAACTGTATAAGTAATAACAATAAATAACAATATTATAATAAAATCGTTTTTTGGTTATAGTATATATGCATGTGTGACATTTGCCACCTGTCCAGTGGCGTAGAAACATATTTTCAACGGGAAGGGGCATTATATTTAAAAAAATATTCATATGTGTACGTTAAGGTGAATATCAACATTTTGAATGAATATTAAAAATATATCAATTGTCACCAGTGAATGTCAACATTCACAACGACTATCGGAGAGTGTTGACATTCACAAATTAAGTTTTGGTGAATGTTAAAATTTTGAGCATTATCATTATCGTGACTCATCATGACTGCTATTCACTCCTAAAATGGGAAAAGTCAGTAAAACTTACTTATTGAAATGTGTAAGTTATTTTGTTAAATAATACTTACAATTTATCAAACCTAACAATATTGAAAACTACTTAGTTCAGTAGTTTACCAGTGAATGTCTATATCTGAAAAGAAATTGACATTCGCCAAAAATGTTGGTGAATGTGACATTCACCGATACATTTTGACATTTTAGAGAGACCAAAAAAAAGCTTCAAATCTTTAATATCTTCTGTATAAACTATAAAGTTACAAGACCGAGTATAAATGCAGCTCCACTTTTTGATAAAATTATTTGATTTCTTTCAAAAATTAATATCCATAGATACTTGAAATTATCTCAACATAAAATGTTAATGTAATATAATTATATCATGACCATTCTCTAAATATAACATAATTTTTTTAACATTTGAGACATTAAAAATATGTTGGACTTTTTATAGTTCTGTTTGAGTTAGATAAATACAAATTTTTCAAGCCAATAAGCTCGAACATTTAATAGAAGGTTAATCGCAAGTGGTTGTTCTTACAGCAATTAAAAAACATCAAAAATAACGACCATATTTTTTTTTAATCGTTATATTATTCTTATAGTTTTATTTTGAAACATATTTTGCAATTAATATAGGTGGGTTTGAGCACACGTTTACTCCAAATTGGGCAAGCATAATAATATGTAAATTGTAAGTACTTAGTGATGGGAAATAGTACTACTTTGTTGTAAAATGCAAGTCTTGACGGTCATCACCCATCGGCTTCCAAAGGATAGGTATAATGTTTACATCGAGTGAAGGTGCAGGATGGCAGGAGTACAGCAACGACGTATACTGAATAATAGGTATGCTTACACTTTTTGAGCTATTTATTGATATTTTCTAATAATTGCACCAACTTATATATTATGTATATGATTTTTTGAACTGACTGTTATTACTTCTTTGTTCCAAGGTTCAGTGTATAGATTGTTTGATCAAAAAGGGCAAATTAAAGCGTCTATGGGATGTCAAATTGTCAGATGTGTTGACATTAAATAAAGTAGGTATACCAAGTGATCCATCTAAGTGTCTACACTCATTATTTGGATAAATTCATTTGTTTTGAAAATATTATTTTTATATAATTTGATTTTATGTAAAAACCAATATTTTTTAAGATTAATTATATTTTTTATATTTTTTTATCATTAGTTTTATACTTTTTTGAATTCCAGACATTTTTTGTTTCATATTCCGGAGTAGAATATTATGTGGAGCATTTCAGCGTATAAAAATCAAATTTCGGAAAAGTAGTTCATTAGTTATAACTTTATTAGTACTGTATAAATAATTAATATATTATATCAATAATAATAGTGTTTGGAATAATAAAATGGGGCCGGAATCCTATCACTATAAAAGTGAAATATTTCACATGACATTTTTAGTTTGAAATATTTCAAACTTGAAACTTTTACCATTCTTGAATAATTGAAAAATATATTTTTTTAATTTTGGGATTTTAGTGCGTTTCTTAGTCATTACTAGATGATCAGACCAATTTCATACCTGATTAGTGACTATAAGTATTCAATTTCCGATTATGATGTAGAAAAAATAATATTATATAAGACAGATTATTATGTAATTTATATAATGTACGATGTAAGTAAATATTTCTATTACATTTTCTACTAACCAATTAAAATTGAGTAGAGGTGTTCACTGCACTTCCTATTATAGTCTTAAACTAAAATTGTATTTTTATTTTCATCAAATTTAAATATTTCATAAAAGTTTCATGACATTATAGAACCCTACTGGCTAATTAGAACGATGAACACAGATACTAGCTGGCTAGTAATATAGAACACGATATACTCGTCGTCTGGGAAATATTTGAATCTTTCGGTAACGGCTTAGGACAAGATTCTATACCTGAGTTGGTTATTAGAGGAGCCCTCAATAAATTGTTGATTACATCTCATTTACCTCCAAATCTACTACTACTACGGACAACTACAAAGACGGCCAATGCATCGATGACGTAGTTGTGGGATGCATTATCAGAAATCGTTGAGAGGGTTAGCCTTAGCTGTATCAGATATGTCTGATCATCGAATTCAAAATGAAGCCCCCCGAGACAAAATTATTAGAAAAAAAACCTTGCATATTTTTTATATTCTTTAAATTCTATCATGACAACTATTATATTATAATAACCCCGTATTACATTTTCAAGCTTCTTGACCTTTCGAGATTTTGATTTTTTATCAATACTTACATAAAAAATTTGAATATGATTATAAATACCCAACACAGATCTAATCACGTAGATATATAAAATGATAACTTAAACCATCTTCGCTCAGTGTCGTTTTTTGTATGCAATGATTTATAATTTAATTCGAATTGGACACACCCATTACCCATTTAACTTACTCGACATCTACTCAGACAGACACCTACTTGCCCACTTAATTTTTCTAGTTTTTCCCGATTGTTCGAAATTGTCTACACTTGACCCCTTTTCGGTGATTGCACCATTTTTACTGCTTCGACAGGTAGTGGTAGGCACAGAAATAAAACAGACAGATATCTGCAAAAAAAACCGCTTCGTTCATAATCTAAAATCTGTAATACTACAGTTGTTAAGGATAGATTAATGTGATAATAAAATAATATCAGCTATAATATTTAATTGCAATAAAATATTAAAACACAAACAAAATAACGTCAAAATATTAATAACTATGATTACTAAAAATAATTTCGTCGCTATTTTTGCTACACAATACAATAGTAGAAACTGATACAATTACAGTTTTACCATTTTCAATAAATGTGATCAATGTAAACAAAAAATAAAAATAATAAAAACAATCTCGATAAATCACATGGCGTTAAATGAATATTTGTCTTTGAAACGATTATTTTTTAAATTTCGTCTCCTTCGGTCGCAACTCAATGTACACATTTAAGTAAGTTAAGTTGCCTACTGTTTCAGGAGTGTTTTTTTGTTACTTTTGTTACCGTTATGGTTTGTTTACTCACTACGTCTTGCAGAAGTTGACGTCTGTCCTTCATTTAGATCGATGTCCACCAAGCTTGTGAGTATAAGCCAAAACAATCGATTTCTATTTTTCTTTCATAAAATTGTATGGTTTAATATGACGTGTACAGGCATGCTTGCAAGTGTCTGGCAGTGGCTAGTACCTAACTACTCAAATGGTAAACGGTTAAAAAAAACCCGTTCAAACTGTTTTGACATTTTTTAAAATTATTGTTTTGGCTGTTTAATGTGTACAAAAATATGTAAGTTGTGCCTATAAAATATCTTGTAGCAAGGCATCAGTGTTTATATTTTATTGGTAGATTAATATTCTGTCAATTAAGGCTTTTCCCTTTCAACCCTTAAAAAAGTGTCACCTTTAGAATACACTAAACTATTATATTTGTATTGATACAATGCCCTCGGCGAAACGGGTCATTGGGTTTACAAATAGTTTAATTCGATAGCATATTGTTATGTGTACTTATTAAATATATTAGTTTTATATTTTGGTTTGAAGATTGGCGGCTGTGATGAATTGGATGATGTTGGCTATGGATTTAGGGTGATTATGGAGTATTTCGGTTGGGTGATTCGGACAGGTTGTGACTAATTCTGATGTTGTGGTATATTCGGCATTCAATGAGAATGTGGTTGATGGTGACTTGGACACCATTGGTTGGGCATATAGAGGGTTCCTCTTTGGCCACTAACACTAAACTATTACATTCAATTGAAAATTTAAAAATAAGTCAAGAGCTATCTGCTGTCCTGGAATGTGTAGTAACCCGAAAAAACTAAATTAACTAATGGCATATGATTTTCATTATTATCACTATCATTATATTCAGAGTCGTAATAAAAAAATAATAATAACAAACAATAGATCAACCGGAGTCATATGCATTTTTTTTTTAGATTTGTATTGTCTAACGTTTATTCAATACTTCATTGATAGTTGATACTATATATGTATACTAAATATGAATTCAATTTTCACTTATCACGTCATGTATAAATTCAAAATTGTTA